TTAATCCTGAACAGGAGTGAGTGAATGGCAGGAGGAGAGAGACACACGTAGGGCTGGTTAACAGACAAAGAGAGGGGCAGTGACGGGAGGGCAGAGCGGTGGCTGCGCGGAGCAGTTAAACATCTGTTGCTCCGTGGGACGTCCAGACTTTTCTACAGGGTCAGGATCCAAAAATACCCACTAGAACAGAATGGTATGTTGGGAACATGAACAAAAATTCAGCAAAAGTGAAAAGAAATACAACCAGGTCCCAGAGCCTGTGAAGCTAACGTGAAGCTAACGTGAAGCTAACGTGAATCTAACACACACTAGTTCATGTCCTTCAGTCAAAAAAAAAATTAATTTTTTTTTAAGATTAATTATATTGATGTCAATATATTTTGTCGTACTAGAGCATGAAAAGACTAAAAATGATGTTTCCTTCTTCAAATGGTTGGCTTGTGGGCCTGCTGCGGACTGCTAGCCACCATTTAAAGGTCACTGGTGAACGTGTGAATCATGTGAGGGAAAGTGCAAAAAAAGTTGTTTTTAATGACCAAGTGAATCATGTGAGGGAAAGTGCAAAAATTCCAAGATGAAAAAAAAAAGCTTTTTGTGTTTTTGAAAAATCTTCAGTTTTCCCTGAGATCATTTATCCCTGAATCTGAATAAATCTGAGGCTTTGATTTCCATGAAATCCTGTATTTTTCACCCTCTTTTTTTCCCCTTTTGTTTATAATTTTCCCACTCGACGTTATCCTGACATGAACTTTTGTTTCAATCGGCTGCTTTTCTGTCACTCTTCCTTCCTTTATTGTCACTTTTTCGTGGCTCTGTTTCATTCTCTCCACTCTCCTCCGTTCAGACCAATTAGCGTGTTGGTGCGTGGACACGCCCCCCAATCCATGTTTGTGGGCTTTAATCAGAGCAGTAGCACGCCGACATGTGTGTGTGTGTGTGTGATATAGGGTAAAGGTGATAAAGAGATGCATAAATCCTTGATGAACTCCACTGACTCTGCCTCATCATCATCTCCCCCCTCCTGTCTTTTACCCCCCCTCCCCCTCACCACATATGAAACTCTCTGTTTTTGTGGAGATTCAGTGATGAAGAGTGTGTAATATTTAGGAACGTCTCTGTCGTCAGCTGAGCTGTAGGTCTTTGGTTCTGAAGTTTTCTCTCAGCAGAGGAGTCTCCACTGATCTGTCTGCTCTGAAAACTCAGTCGGTCTCCAGGGTTTAGATGAGGAAAGAAAATTCCTCTTTCCAGCTCTTCACGTTTGTTCTTAAAGGTCACGCCAAGGTCCTTCAACCTTTAGATTTGTTACAAAATAAAGCTTCACTGTTACACAGAGTTTTGTATTTAAAAAGGCTGACAATAAAAAAAAACCCTGTCTTTTATTTTTATTTTGTTTTTAGTTCTGTTGTTATAAGGAAAACATCTGGGTTGTGGACCGCTAATAAGACCGTTAATAAAATGCCCCTTAATGAGCCAGGAAGTCTGGGAAATGGGGGTATAGTAAATAAAATAGAATCACTTTGTGAGAAAATAAAAAAGTTCCGAGTTCATTGGATTCTCTGTCGTCTACCAATAAAAAAATAAAAAATAAAAAATAAATAAATTGAAGTAGAAATGTGACAAATACATAAAC